CAAAATATGTTAATTGAGAATCAGGGTTCTTTACTCTAATTAGAAACTTTCATTAATTATATAGATATTAGGATGGACTATCTAGCATTTTCTATTCCCTTTCCAAAACTTTCTGAAACCATCCGAGGACATGGAAATATGGCCTACTTTAAGCACTTTATCTGCGGAAGATTATAACGGATTCAGATTTTTCAATTGCGGTCATTGGCGAATCGGGCTCAGCTGGTAGGTATATAGTTTCTAGCGTCATAATATTTCGGTGTGTTCTTCACAGACTTAATTTAAATTATTGGATCCGTCGTTGAAACTTGCAAAGGAATACTATTCAGCCCTTGGTGTTTCGGTTGGTACAGGTGTCGCTGAGTTAACAATATTTGGTGGTGTATGAAACGGGTCGTTCCGGGCCGCAGAGCAAATGGTCTTGGGAATGCTCTGCTGTGGATCGCATCAGCTTAATAGCTGATGCCGATTTATTTTCATTTTTCGATTCTATACTATACGTTGAATGCGATATAGCTTGAAGATCATTTTAAAAAATTGTCACACTTAATTTTAGTATCATCCTAATATTACATACTACTTTAGTTTTTGTATTTTATTACATACATCTGTATGTGTGTGTATTTATTTCTTGTGTGCATACATATATTTATGTACATAAGCCCTAGTGTCGGGCCTTTTGTGTTGTTGTTTTTAGATTTTTTGTTGTGTGTAGTTTCTTTTCTTTTTTCTACATATTTTTCCTTGGTTTTTAGGTTTTTATTGTGTTGTTTTTGTGTTTCATTTTTTTTAAAGAATTCTCAGAATTTTTAAGTTTCTACTAAAAGATCACAGACTTTGCCAGGGTACCGTTTAAGTTTAAACAAACACATGCACACACACACACATGCAGCTTCATGTTGAAATTAATGTTAAGGTTAATTTACGTCTAGATTCTCCATAAGGATCTTTACGCATGCATATATAAAAACATAGATGATTTTATGCTGAGGATTTTATTTAGGGACAGTTGGATTTTTTATTTTAGCTGAATTTGAAAAAAAAACATATTTATTTTGAAATATTTAGTTTCTTGGTTTGTACCTGTTATTATAAGGTGTTAGTTTAATATTGTTCTGATATCAGATCAATTTATTTATGGTCTGAGTTCATATAAAATATAATATGTATGCCCTTTTTAAATTATGTTTACGCCTACAAAAATAGAAAAACGTAACTTGCATTTTGGAAGTATAAATTATAAATTTTTCTTCGGTGACCTATTATTTATGTACGTTCTAAGAACCCTAAAAGTTCAAAGATGTTAAATTAAAAATATTGAAAATATAAATACTAACCAATATTTTTTATTCAGCACCCAATGTATCGAATGGTTTTGCGCTCGTCAGGCTAACTATCTCGATCTCCCTAGTACATTCGCTTTTTCTTTGCCGACTGCTCCCGAGTGGCCTGATACCCATATAATGTAAACTTTACCACTGCGAAAGTATTCGGTTGAAGCTTTCTTACAGTCCCATACGGTCTTACATTTAACTTTATCAGCTGATAATGCGCCAATTGCCTTCTGGCTACCATTAAATATGTATGATAACCTCCAGAGTTATACATTGTACACTGATTTTCGAAAAATATCGTGAACTTTTAGTTGATTTCCTAGATCAATCAGCTAAAAAATACTTCACTTTATCAGTTCTTCTTAGTTGGTAATGTTGCAGTCTGTCAATTCGGAGGACGTGCGTTCAATTCTCACTAGAAAATCAGGTAAAGGAGCGCTTACTGAAGAGATTGAACTTACTTATCGGAACCGGTATGGTATCCGACTCTAGTGATCTTCTTTAGCATCGTGGCAATAAACTTTTTTTCCTTCGAATAAACTTTTTCTTTAACGCATAAGTAATTGTAACTTTCAAAATGTTACAAACATTTTTCGTGGTAAAAAGTTTAATATTCAAATTAGATCAACCTCGAAGTCGAACGCCTCAGTTGTTAAAAAGTTGTCTTTCTTTTCAAGTGAACTTTTTAAAGTTTACAATTCCAATACAATATTATCAAAAGATCTGATCCGATTTTCATTAAAAACTTACACAATGTAGAGTTGGGTGTGGAAATACAATAAGGTGATTTTTGCAAATCTTGAGATACGAAGAGTAAGAGTGTTACTTTTGACTCTTCTGAATCTATACCCTTGTTATATCGATGTTAATATGGACAACAAGGTAATTTTTTATGGATCTAAAAAGACAGACGTATGAACAAGACTACATCGTCTTAGAATCTAATAAGGACCAAGAATATTTAAACTTTTGTGGCTCATAAGTCGAAGTGTTTTACGTGAACACCTACCGCGTTGGCCCAACCTCGAAGTCGAACGTCTCAGCTCCGACCATGTGCAATTTCGTTATGACGTTTGCAAATCTGACAAATCTGCGGCAATAATTAAAAAGTTGTCTTTCTTTTCAAGAGAACTATTTTAAAGTTTACAATTCCAATACAAAATTGCAATATTATTAAAAGATGTGATCCGATTTTCATTAAAAGTTTACACATTGTAGAGTTGGGTGTGGAAATACAATAACGTGATTTTTGCATAACTTGAGATACGAAGAGTAAGAGTGTTACTTTCGACTCTTCTGAATCTATACCCTTGTTATACATACATATATTGTTAATATATTGTTAATATGGACAACAAGGTGATTTTTTATGGATCTAAACAGACAGATATATGGACAAGACTACATCGTCTTGGAATTTAATAAGGAATATTTCCACTTTTGTGGGTCATAAGTCGAAGTGTTTTACGTGAACACCAGCCCCGTTGGCCTTATTTCACGGTGGTACTTTTACAACCACATGTTAGATAACTCCGCTAACCACCGCCTCTTTGTGCTTCTTACATGGGTCGGTCCATGTATAAGTACATTGCTCAAGTAATTGAGCTATCTAAACTTCCTAGAAGCACTTCCGTTTACAACCTCGCATATGGAAAGATTGTAGGCCGAAATACTAATCCTTCTAATAAGACGAGGACTTGTTCCTACTCACAGAGAACACACTGTGGTAAATCTGGTATGAACAGAGAAGGCACTGAACGTACCGAAAAAATAAAGGAAATTTCAATGATATTACGGTCATACCCCTACATCCATCCTGTATCATGCATATACACTTGGGACAAAATCATTTCCAACGCATAGTTATACAGTCCATTCTCTGTTGGGTATCTGTCGGCAACAGTACCGAACTCATCCTGATTTATAGACTTTACAGTGTATCATCACCCTTTTAACTAACATTCTCTTTCCGTGAATTTCGTTTTAAACTACAGCACGCGCACCTCAGACACCGGAACCAGACAAAGTCCGAAACTCTGCCTAGCGGGCTTCCGGTTCCCGTGGATTATAAGGCTCCCTCGTGCGACCTCAGGTCAAATGATTCCAAGCAAAGGTGGAAGATACATCTGACACCATCAGTTTATAAATCCGGCAGACTAGAGATATTAGTAGCACCTCTTTTCCCCTGGATTGCCATAACACCAAGATGGGGAAGAACATCAAGGTAACATGTGCAGGGGGAAACTTTTGTGGGTTAATATTTTGATTACAAACGGAGTTACAAAATCAATATACTTCCATATTTTATGATGTTGGGTCTAAAATCTAGAATACTCGACAACGTTCAAGAGATTTCATTGCAACTCTTTAAAATGAGGTCCCAACTAAGTTCTATTTCATAAAAGTAGAAGTTGTTTAGTTGTTTTATAATTTTCAATATAATTTTTGTTCCTATTCCTAAAATATTTCTCAATATCCAAAGCAATTTCTTAAAAAAAATGTATTAAAAGTCCTCGCCATTAAACGAATTTCGTGTGCTGTAGCTTTTTTAACAGTTTTTGTAAAGTATATTTTACTGAGATGTTGATAAGATCGAACATATAGGGTGTTCTTATCAAAAAACACTGCTATTGATATGAAAATGTGTCAACTTCATCAAACGCATGATAGCGAAAATTTTAATTTAATTTTAAAATAAAAGTATATGTAGAATGAATATGAAAAAAGTCGCTAATTTAGAATCAATTTTAACGCTTCATGGTCCATTGTTAAGCATTGAAAACCTTTGTTTTCATCCAATATAAAATACTCATATCATATTAATTTTTACTTTCAATTAATACTTATTTTTGTCTTAACTGAAGTGCCTTTGAATCTCTCCTATACTTCTACTCTATGAACTTCCTTATTGCAATTCTAATATAAAGTGTCAAATCTTAAGAGTCAAACTTGATTTCTAACATCTACTTGAAAATCCTTTTTGATTTTTTAGTGTCTATATGAAATAGTTTAAAGTATTAACTAGAATTTAACAATTCAAACAGTTTAAATTAGTTTTAAATCTATGCTGTACTTTTAAATACAAATACAGATTTAATATTTTTTGAAACCAAATTCAAAAAAATATCTTTTAGTTAGTGTTTCGAAAACAAAAAAAGTTGGAAATGATACGAAGAAACGAAAACTAAATTTGAAATCAAATTTCTTTAAGAAGCATAGAATAGAATATTTTGTATTGTCTTGTATACGGACGAGTAGTAGTGTATCTTGGGCCACACAAAAATACACACATATACCAACGCTTTAAAGACATAAACAACAAAAACACATAGATACACCCATACACAGATGAAACCTTAAGAATTTCTGTTTATTTTTTTCTTTCTACCTAAACGAACCACTACAACGACACTAGTAGACACACAGATACAAATACGATAGCAGTGAAGAGTATATAGAGAAAAAAAGTACCTGGTATCTCTTAGATTGTATTCTGGGAAATGGCTGAATTGTGCAGAGATTAAAAGGAAACTGTTCTCTTTTTGTTAGTTTCCTCTGCTCTGTGCTCTTTACCTGCTGCCCAAGTGTGTGTGTGAGCAATTGGGTAAAGTCGTATTTTGTAGTTTCAGTTATAAACTCAAACATTCGACCAGGGAGTTTAGTTTGTGATACGTTGTTATACAGTGCGGTATTGTGCGCGGTCCTATTCTAAAACACAAACCGATAAATACAAATTTTAATTCTGATACAATAATTGTAAACAGACGGCAAAAATATTAAACTAAAGTTTCTAAATTGCTAATTTAAATTGTAAAATACCACCATAAGAAGCATTAATCTACATAAAATTTGTAATAGAAAAAATATTCTTAAATAAAAGAAAATTTATAAAACAAAAAAAATATTATGAGAATTATACATTAACAAAGTGTCATATTAGTTACAAAGAAATTTGCAAGTGTTTAGAGAGCAGAAATATTTTATAACATAAAAATATTTAAAGTGTTTTTAAACAATTGAGTAAAACAAAAAATATTAAATAATAAAAAATTATAAAAATAACGCTTTAAAGCGTTCTGATTAAGTGAATCCCCGAAGATAAATAAACATTAAAGTAGAAAAAAATAATAACACAGAATATGGCCACTAACACCGAAATACTACCCTTCCATCATCAAACTAGTTTGTCACTACAAACAGCCGCAGCTCTGACCAACTACCATGGTGGCGGTGGTGGTGGAGGCAGTAGTATTCATACAGCCACACAGTTGGCTGCAGCAGCTTGGAGCATGGAAGACCATCTTTATCAACAGACTGAATTACCCGGCCTCACACGCAGTGCTCATCATCTGCTACGTTTTACCCCCTATGCACTGCATCATCGCCCCCAGCTGCAAACTCTACCACCCGCGTTGTATCTTCAACATGCAGCTGCAGCAGCAGCTGCGGCGGCAGCGGCAGCAGCACATGCGCAACATCATCATCACCATCATCATCTGCAACAAAGACCTGCTTCTCCCGACAGTCCTCCACCCGCAGAGGGCCTACATATTACTAATCTATTTCCCGAAGTTTTGGAAATGATTTTCGATAAACTGTCGGTCAAGGATTTGGGACGTGCAGCTCAAGTGTGTACCACCTGGCGTGATGTGGCCTATTCCAAGAGCATTTGGAAGGGTGTCGAAGCGAAACTACACCTGAAACGTTCCAGCCCTAGTCTATTTAATTGTCTAGTTAAACGTGGCATTAAAAAGGTACAGATCTTGTCATTGAGAAGGTCTCTGAAGGATTTAGTTCATGGAGTACCAGCTCTAACCTCCTTAAATCTCAGTGGTTGCTTTAATGTGGCCGATGTCAATTTGGGTCATGCTTTCTCCGTGGATTTACCCAATCTCAAAGTACTCGATCTCTCACTATGCAAACAAATTACCGATACTAGTCTTGGCCGCATAGCCCAACATCTTAAAAACCTAGAGACTCTGGAGTTGGGCGGTTGCTGTAATATCACCAACACCGGTCTGCTTTTGATAGCGTGGGGTCTCAAGAAACTGAAAAACCTCAATTTACGTTCCTGCTGGCATATAAGTGATCAGGGCATTGGTCATTTGGCTGGCCTCAACAAAGCCACCGCCGAGGGTAATCTTGAACTCGAATATTTGGGTCTTCAAGATTGCCAACGTCTAAGCGATGAAGCTTTGGGTCACATAGCACAAGGTTTAACGTCACTAAAGTCCATCAACTTGAGTTTCTGCGTGTCCATTACCGACAGCGGCTTAAAGCATCTGGCCCGTATGCCCAAGCTAGAGCAACTCAATTTACGTTCCTGCGACAACATATCCGACATAGGCATGGCCTATCTGACCGAAGGCGGTAGTGGTATAACCTCACTCGATGTCAGTTTCTGCGACAAGATCAGCGATCAAGCTTTAACGCATATTGCTCAAGGACTCTATCGCCTGCGTTCGCTCTCTCTCAATCAATGCCAAATCACCGATCAGGGTATGCTCAAAATAGCCAAAGCTTTACCCGATCTAGAGCATTTGAATATCGGTCAATGTTCCCGCATTACCGACAAGGGTCTCCAAACATTGGCCGAGGAATTGGCCAACCTTAAGACGATCGATTTATATGGCTGCACGCAGTTGTCTTCCAAGGGTATTGATGTCATCATGAAGTTGCCGAAATTAGTGAAACTTAATCTCGGCTTATGGCTCGTAAGATGATGTGCTAAAAGGCAAAACCGAAACAATACACCAAAGCAGAGGCAGGAAGACAAACTACTTCAAGCCATTGTTAAGGATAAATTTCGGCCTAGGAGTGACGATCGTAAGCAAGAGATGAAGAACGCCAACATACAACCAACAAACAAATCAACATTAGCACCAGATGCAGTTGCAGCTTCATCATCATCATCTTCTTCTTTAGCGCCAACGTACCATAGGGACAACACTATAGACGATGCTTTCCTGCAAGCAGAACATCTTCAAGACAAGAGTCCAGTGTACTCAACACAATCCTAGAACTACAGATGGTGGTCGGTCTGTCGGTCGGTCGGTTGGTCAGTCGCTTTTAAGTTGTGCGTAAAAGTATTATCCTTCGCCCAGCAACACACATACAATCAACAACAACAAGAACAACATCAACTACTACTCCCTTAAGAAAGAAGGAAGACTTGCAGTGGATACAGGATTTCATGTGGTATTTTTTATAAAAAATTAACTACAAAAATTATGGGCGTAAATTATTATTCTAGCCAAAAAAAAAATTATAAAAAAATTTATTAAAAAAGTTACAGTCAAAGAAAAAAAAACACACACACATAGTTGTAAAACTAATACATTCACATATGAAGAAAAAAATATATGAAAACAACAACAACAAAATCTTACAATCCGTATACGAAACAATACAAGTTTTTATTTCGTTGTTCGCTTTTTTCTGTTTTTTTTTTTTTTTTTTTTTGAGGGCATTAGCATTTTTGTGTTGCTTACGAAACGTACACTAACACATACACGTACTTTGATGCACACAGATACACACACACGTATAGAGAGCGCAACTGACTTTCCACAATCGAGTGAAACAAACCTGACAACTGAATAAAACCAAAACAACAACAACTCGTACTTGCATGCGTGCGTGCAACCTTACCTTATTATTACAACTTCTACTATTTGTTGTTGTTGTTGTTAATATTGTTGTAATTTTGCCTTTTTGTTGTTGCTGCTTCGAACGGAAAGCAAACAGACCCTGAAACGAATGAGTAGAAGCGAAAAATAAAACAACAACGACAATAGCAACTGCAACAACAACAACTGCACGAGAAAAAAAGAAATGTAATGAAATAACAACAACTACAATGTAAGAAAACAGAAAAAAAATTTTAAAAAATAATAAAAATAACAGTCATGGCAACATGTAAAATGTCAACATAAAATCTATTTCGTTTTTTTTTTTTTGCTTAGACTTTTCTAAATTTTTCAGAACAAGTGCAGTTTCTGATTCCTTTTGTATATTGCAAATTGTTTGATCAATTTGAACTAAATTTTCTATAACATTTTGAAGTAGTTTATGATATAGTGCATACATACATATGTATGTTAGATTTAGGCGAATCCTTTCTCTTTCGAAAAGCTGTGTTGGTCCAAATATAAGGGACCTCGGCTAAAACATTTTTCGGTTTGTTTGATTTCAAAGCAGAAAGGTTAATCTTTCAATTTAAAAAATTTCTTATTTCCTGGAAACATGTTTATGAAGCTTTTGGGTCAGAAAGGATGAGGCCTTCTGATATTCTCCTCAGCAGAATTAAGACATGCATAATAATACTTCTTTATAGTTAATCTATAAGGAAGATTTACAAAAAAAAAATCGATACAAAAGTTCAACCATCGAATCTTAAAACGTTTATCATAATGTCAACTTTGAGGACTTCTAATTTTAACCTTTTTAGCTTAAAGAGTTCCAAATTTGAAACCCAAACATTTTCCTCTAGTCATGACTTGTTTTTTTTAATCGAACAGACTAACAATTCAGAAATTACAGAAGGTATTAGTATAACAAATATTCGATCTTTTCAGATTTTTTCTAAACAAAAAGTCTTTATATATATGTATGTATATGTAAACTAGATGCTCAGATTTACGCACACAACTATACAAAATCGGGCGAACGGACTCAGGCGAATATAGGGCTGCTATTGATAGGCATTCGACGAAATGAAGATCTAAATATCTTGGGAGAGATTTGATTCCAGTTATTATATTCCTCACGAACACTGATTGGAAAATTCTAAGGATCCATGTTTAGGAAACTGAGTTTCTGAAGATAAGACTATATTTTCTTTGAAAGATCGCTATATAAGGTTTTTCTAGTAATAGTTTTTAATGAAAAGGAGCTTATAATAGTATTTTTTTAAGCTGATATATATTCTGATATCTTATCGATCGATTTTGTTCTAAAAATTACTTTATGAAATACTGAAGAGTCTGATCCATAATTGATCTAATTTTTCTGGAGGACTTTCTTTTGAAAATCATCTAATGTTTATAAATCTTGTATTAATATTGGTATTGTGATAAATTTCGATAAAAATATGTTTTGTGAAACATTCATGATCCAGATTTCACATGAGACCTGCTTCCGAAATTTAATTTAAGACTCAAAAATCTCTTTTAAATATTGATATACATTACAATCTCGATAAGGTAGTTGGATGAGGATGTTAGTTAGTTTGAAAGAGGATGTATATGTATACATCTAGCGGGACTGTTATGAGCTCCTTTACCAGTGCCTCAGGTGGGAATTGAACCCACGAACTTCGGTTGAGCAGACCAGAACACTTACCTACAGGAGGCCACAATGGTTTGACAATTTGACAGCTATATTATAAATAGTTAACTTTAAAAAAATCTGAATAATTGTCTCAAGCTTTTATGATTTTTATGGATGACCGATCCAAAATCGTATGGAACATTTGTGGCGATCCCCATTACCAATAGAAAAATTTGCTAAAAATGTTTTTAATTTTTACTTAAAAAAACTTAAATATTTAATTTATTTTGGGAACATTTAAGTTCCTTCCATAACCTGTTACTATCTCAAATAGAACTTCCTTTTAGCATTTGTGTCCACCATGAGTATAAAATGTTGCAAAGCAGGGAATTCGTAACAAAGACCAGGTTTAGGAAGGGGAAACATCAAACAAAATAAAGACAAAGACACACATACAACCACATTCATAAGTAAAATCTTTTATGTAACCTGCAGTACGGGGTAACACTCCGTATCGCTCCTAATTATACATACATATGTGTGAGCCCTAGAAGGATGTCAATTACCGATGTTCAGTTCAGTCTGCTTTCTAAAATACGAGTTTAGAGTTTTAAGTAACTCCTCTCTAGATTACTTGGAGACATTAAAGTAATTTCTTTCTATAGTTGAAACAAAAAGTCGATTCTTCGAAAGTCGGTATAGAGTATAGAACCCTACTTCGTATCTCCAAAACAAAGAAAGAAAGTGCCAAGAATTGAAATCTTTAAAGAAAATATTGCCCGATAGGGGAATACATTGATTTCTTAAAAAACTGCTGGGATGATTTTATAAAGATACGAGTATAAATTTTTGTTGTTTTAAATTAAACAGAAAACTTCATAGCTTTCGTTTGCTATAACAAAAAAAAACAGCAACACACATCGTGCTTAAAAAGTAAAACTAAATATAAAAAACAGCAAGCAATAACAAAGAATATAAGTAAAAAGCAAAACAGAAAACAGTTACTGGGAAACATGCGAAGAACACAAGACGAGAAACACAACAGAAAAAAAAATATATATATAAAAAAAAGATACACATACTAAGATATAGATATGAACATACATAGATATAAACAACATACATACATACATACATATGTATGTTTGTATAGCTAAAAGCTGAAATGCAAGCAACTCGTAAGACATACAGCCATTTAGTCACATTGGCTTACTGTCAGTTAGACAGAAAAATGTTATAGACAGACAGACGGACAGACAGACAGTGTAAGCCAGAAGACCAGACCAGAGTTTGTATGTATGTATTTGACTATAGAAAATACTATAAGCAATACCCGACCGAGGATTGTAAGCGACTGTAAAGTATTTTTTTTTTCATCCAATATTTGTATATATATTTTTTTTATTTTTACTTTTCGCTGGAGAACTGGTACTCATTATAAGTTACTGAGACACTCACAGATACCCCACTCAAATGTATACAGTGTGTCATTAAAGTTGAGAGACATGTTAAATTAAGAATTTGGAGAACAACTATGTTCAGGTTTTTGCATAAGGCGGGTGATCCGCTTCGCCTAAGAACATAGCTTAAATATCAAACGGAAATATTACTCAATTTACTCTAAAGATTTTTGATAACCCTATTCGTAATTTTTAATATCATACAGTAAAGTACGGCGAAAACTAGACTTTCTCAGAACTTGTTCCAAGCCTACTAGCTTCCACAGAACTAACGATCTATAATCGTTTACACATTTTGCAATGTTATTCTAAAATATATCTGAAGGAATCAATTCTGTAAAAGGTACATTGTTTTATAAACTACACCGAGTTCTGGATTCTTCAGTCTACAAAGTATTTTGGAAATTGTTGTAAATTAAATTTAAATACTTACATTTTATAATATCTTTAATGGTTCCACTGATTTACTATATAGTTTTAAGCTTTCTTATGCTATATAATGTCGGTATTAACTTTCAAAATCATGTACGATACGATCCTTTACTTGATGGAAATTAAAAAGCCTATATTAGAGAGAGAATATATAGTACTTCTTGCCAGTAGACAGATAGTACGCTCAATCTGCCCAATTTTCAGTCTAGAGTTCTGAAACTATTTCTAGCCCATAGGTCTACGTTTTAAATGTATAAGAAAATATTTTCCTGAACGATTTCTTTCAGTTAGAGGGATTTAGTCAAGACACTTTGTTAAACATTTTTCCAGTTGGACAACAACGTTTTCGATCCACTTAGAGCATAGTCTATGCCTATAGCAAGACCCATAGATACATTTGTCGATCCACGATCAATATTTTGATGTGTATAAAACGGAATAGCATAATCGGATCCATTTAAATCAACTTCGGAAGATTTAGATTCCAAACTTTTCTCAGACAAAGTAAAATTTATTAAGTAATATAATAAATAATGTAATATAGAGTATCCTATTATTAGGTCCTGATCTATTGAATCAAAAAAAGTACGGAGCACTTGTCTGGATGGAGGGCACACGATCTGAGAAACAAGAACTTAGAATATGTTGATACATTTGTGCACCCACGAACAATATATCTATGTGTAATAAATTGAATGATCGTGACAAATTTTGCAAGATATTGAGTCCCAACTTTTCTCCGACAACATAAAATTAATTTAGAATGTGACAGAATCTGCAACAGATCCATCTATAATATAGAAATTCATATTATTAGGTCTTGATCCGAAGTGAGTCAGTTTTTGCATTTCCAGATCTCAGATCTTGATCTATTAGATCAAATGGAATGACATTTAAATCAACTTTGGATACAGTTTTGTCAAATGATTGGTACAAATTTTCGAAGATAATGTCTATATATAGAGCATCTTATATACTATACTATACACTATAATATATAGCATTTCCAGATTTTATATCTTGATCTACACAGAGGGAAAAAGAAATATCCACGCCTGATGCCAAATTGACACGAAACTGTTTATAATTTTTCAATACCATCCGTTGTCAAAGTATATACATAAATACGTACGACAACAATCCGTTGCCAATAGTGAGCTTACCACATTTGTTAACATAAACGGATGTGTATAAAATATCGATTTTGACAACGAATTGTTGCAATGTTGACAACATAGTGTTGTCGTACGTATGTATATGCTTTGACAACGGATGTTATTGAAAAATTATAAACTCTTTGGTGTCAATTTGGTACCAGGTGTGTATATTTTCTTTTCTAATACACAGATTAGATCAAATGGCATGGCATTTATATCAACTTTGGATACAGTTTTGTCTAATCAGTGGAACAAATTTTCGAAGAAATTGACTCCCAACTTTTCTCCAACACTGTACAATTTTACATAATGCATGTGTATAAGTAAGCGAGTGTGTTTGTGTGTATGTATATTAGTGGCAGTTATGTAGACGTGGTTGATGTACTTAATGCATTGATGGGGGACGAAGACCAAAAGGCAATCGATAAAAAAAAAATAGAAAACAACAAATAACAAACAACTGACTGCTTAAACGAACGAGAATGTCTGTCTAACAAACTGACTGTTTGACTGGGCAAAAAGACAAAATAACAGACATTAACGCTGGCTGAGTGAGTAGTGGCCGACAACGACGGCGACGATAGACTGGTCGTTTTTAAAATGCCAGTAAGTTGCATATAAAATGCCTGCTTTAAAGCCAGTTTTTGCTTTTTTTTTTCTCAGTTTTTTTTTGTTAAAATTTTCATACAATATTTTTTTTTATAAATTTTGTTTAATTTATACTGACTTGTACGGGTATGTTTCTCCATCTGTTTAATTTTATGCGTGTGTATAAAGTACAATATAATATAAGTTTGTCTGTATGTTGGTTTTCAAAATTTAAAGCGAAATAAAATGTTTTTTTTAAATTTTAGTAAAAAAATTGTTTCTTGGAATTGTAATTTTATTTTTTGAAATTTTACTTTTTGGAAAACTGTTAACCATTTATTGTTTCTTTAAAAAATTTAGTTGTTGAAAATATATTTTAAATTGAAACTTGAGTTTTTTAAACAATTATAATTACTAAATCATTTATAGTCAATTTTTAATTAAAAAAATGTAACGAGAGATACTCGCTAATTCTTAAAAGAGAATTTTTGTAAATATTTAAAATAATTAAAACAAAACAAATTTTCTATTATTTAACAAAACCATTAAATTAAGTTTAAGTTAAGCACAAAGCAATAGCAAGAAATAACCAACAAAATAAAAAAATATTTACTTGCCTTAACAAAAGTTAGTTGCTGCAAATAAAACTAAAAACCTATTTAGTTGCCAGTAACTAAACTATAATATGTTTTCTTTGTGTGTGTTTAATTTTTTAGGTTTTATAATTATTTGTATAATGTTTTTAGTTGATTTTATTTAATTATTATAAAATTTATATAAAATACAAAACAACAAATTGAAATCCCAAAAAGAAATCTAAAAATTCTTTTTTCTATTGTGATATAAAATTATTATTAAACAAAACAACAAACAAATATTGTAAACTTAGTTTTAATTTAGTTTATAAACTGTGTATAATAACATAAATAAATAAAATTTAAAACTTAAAAAAAAAACCATCCCTAAATAAATTTAAAAAATATTCCAGTCCAGCGTACATATTCTTTTAGCACTGCACTGTTTGGCCAAAGTGCAGGCCGTAAAATAGTTTCAATTCAATACATTTTGTTTTCTTATTTTAGAGACCATTGTTTTGCCTTATTTAAATCGTTATTCCAATTGTTTTTATTTTAATTTATTTTAAATAAAATTATTTATAAATTTTTGAAATATTTTAAGTCAAATTAATTATTCATATTGAATTTAGTTTTCAATTAATTTAATATTAACAAAAAACAAAAAAGAAATATTTTATTAATTTTTTCTTGAGATTTTCAGGTTTTTCATATTTAGTTTGTATAAATATTAAATAATTAAGTTTGTTATTTAGCTTAAATCTTATATTGTATAAGTTTAATATTAAAAATAAAAGAAAACTGATAAAACTCAATTTCAACATATTGGAGGAAAGAATGATGGAAAAAGAGTAAAACAAAATTATGTTGTTTTTCAAAATAAAAACGAAACCAAATGAACTTTAACAAAAAAATTATAAATTTCATGTTTTTTATTTCGAGTGTTTTTGGGAATGGGTGATATTCGAGAGTAATCGATATTTTTGCCATTTTCTGAAGGGGGCTTTATATGGTTTCAATTATAGAGCGATTTTGTAGAAAGATTTTGAATCCTATGAAAGTAATTATTGTGGTGCAAATCCTTAAGCATCCTAAAGATGTGAACTAAGAACTACCCTACCCCATACTTCACAGCGTCTGTACTCTATGTTAAGATCGGCTGTGGGGTAAATGACCATCTTTGGTCGCCTAGCGATCACGTAGCTATCAAATGCCGCCTTTTCCCCCGTCGTTTTTCTTTTCAAAGTCGGTCCGGAACTGTGGTTTGGGTTACCTAGGCAACATAACCGTACCTCTTTAGCGTCTGTTCCCTATGGTAAGGGCGGCTGGAAGGTACAATCTGGTTCTGTCAGTCCGAATATTATTGGTTGAAACAAAATCCAGGGTGCGTCTGACTCATATTGAGCAGCATCCTGGCCTGCGTCTGACACCAGAGGAGCGGCAGTATCTTTTTCATGCCTGTCAAATAACAAAGACGGCCCTATGTCCTTGGTCGAGGATGCTAAAATCTCCAAGGGCAACGTGAGTACTCAGGTGGAAGCCTGAGTGCCACTGGAGCTACTGTGAATGCGACGAAACAGACAAGTACTCCGGGTCTGGTAGACGAAGATGCTACTGAGGTAGACAAAATGGACAAGTTTATGATCATACAGGACAGAGTGACGACAAACTCTAAGGTCTGAAAGATTTAAACCTTTATGAGACTGATGAGGAGGACGTGTGCATGGTGTCCTCTGCGCCGCAAAACGCGGAAGAAAACGGACAGAATACGGAGGCCAATGACCCTGTAAAAGGAGACCCTGTTGAGGGAGACCAAAAACAGACAAACAAAAAACAGGACACGGAACAGGCTGAACGGAAAAGGTTGGCGGGTTACAAACGCTCTGTCCAGTATGTCAGATCGCTTGACTCTCAGGATCCTGCGACTCTGACCACCCGGGAAAAGCGTTTGCGGCGAAAATATTCCTACCACATATAGAAGTATGAAGCCATGCTAAATACTACGGTTGTGGAGGTCAGACCAGCCACGACTAAGACGGAATCAAGTCAGAGCAGGCATGTGATCACATATAAACATGTGCCCCATGCCAGCACAGGCATGGGGCAACTAGCTTAACATCAGCACCTGAGCTACAAGTAGCCATCATAGACCGTAGTCAACCCGATATCACTACTTGTAAAATATCGATACTGCTTTGGCCCACTCTGACAACAGATAGGACTAGGACTCTCTTGTCTCTTAGTAAGAACTCGATTAGGCTTCTAACTGATATAATTACTGAGCATTGTATGATGAGAGATATGTCGGAACGTATGGGCTACTCACGTTATAGCTACTGTAGAAGCTGCTTGGAAGAAGATGAAGTGGAATCGGTATAACACCTTCTATGTGATTGCCCAGCATTACAAGAGCACAGACTACTCTATCTTGGTAGAGTTATTTTCCATGATCTAGACTGTCTCAGAGATGTGATCAGTAAACATGATCGGTTTTATTAGAACATCGGCTGGTTTTCACGGAGATAGAACAAACCAAGTAGCCAACGAAATTAGGGAGGGAAACCATTCTCTCAATATTATGGAACGGCAATTCTAAGGGTATCACAATGGGCCACAAAGCCTCCGAGTGAACTCGCTCACTAGCGAGCAACCCACGTAACCTAACCTTCGTCGCTAAACTTGTACGAGTCCTTATATAGGAGGTTTGGCTCAATTATGGTCCGATGTCTGCCATATATTTCAATATAATTTCTGGTTGATTAAAACAGGTTTTTGCAAATTTTATCACTTAATTATGGCTCTTTTAACTACATATATTCCAAGGAGTACAAGTCGCTCCTCGGTCGATGTGTTACAAACGGTATTACAAAATCATATAACCTCCATCGTTTTAGATGATGGGTATAAATACTGGTAAAATATAAAGTTGTACTGACATAAAATCTACAATTATAGCACTCTACACGACATCCATAATGGTTCTTTAATAATAAATGTCGGTTAATGAAGTAGCTCAATATTCGAACCTGGAGTTGCTCTGGATGCTGAAACAATCTTTAACGGCAATATGGATATATTAGTCGAAATCCTGCTCTCATATCTTTGGAATAACTAAGGTCCACTTGTTCGATACATCTTGGTCCTTACTTCCTGTAACGTCTAATAATGGTTGTGGGATGTGAAATCATTTTCTGATTCCATTTAACAATGTCTGTCCGTCAGTCAACTTAAACGGATGATATCTCAGCAAGAAAAATAGATTTTTAAATAATTTAAAAAGTATTTTCAAATATTCAAATCACTTTCTGAAGGGCAATTTATATGGGGGCTAAATGAAGTCCGATCATTTTGAAATTCGGCAAGGTAATCAAGACTTCTATAAAACTTAGTTGTGCGACCTTTTATAGAGATACAATTATATTTTACATAATTATGAGCTTAAAATCCTATACAATCGTTCGTGACTATAAGTACGCATACAGAGTGGTATAGATTTCGTATAAATAGGAGTACTTGAAAAAAAGTCATTCTGTCATTCTAATGATATGAGGTTTATAATGTAATAATTTCAATTAATTACATTAAGTAATTCTATGTATAAATTTTAAAAATCTAAAAATTTTCTGAAAAATTACAACATTTGTAATAATTTAGGAGTCGTATAAAAATTTTGTTATGTCATTGAAATCGTCTCTCAAAGCCCTTTAATATGAAACCAAATTTGCATATGGTTTATTTGCAAGAAATATGATAAAAAAAGTAAATAAAAACCTTAAAAAAGTACCAGCTCACCAAATATTGACGTCATGACAAAAATTTTGAGTATTGGTATTTTAGAATGAACTAAATTTTCATTTTCGGTGGGAACATCAGCAACTTTATTTTGGGGCCACCCTAATATATATATTAGTAAATATATGTATATACAAACATTTAAAGAAATAAAATGATGTAAGAAAGTGCAGTTGGACATCTTAGATCTGTCAATTTTTGAAGGTATACATATATACTACCATAATTAGCATAATTATAAGCTACAAAGCGCTATTTACGGGTCCGTTTGTATGGCAGCTAGGAGTAACAATAGGCCGATTTTAAAAATATTCAATTTGCATCCTTTTATTGAATTATCTTTAAAATGCAAAAGTTTTAAGCGTTTTATTTTTTCAGTGGTGGTTTACCTTTGCGTATGATTAATAAATTATGATTATATGAAGTATACTCATGCTAAGCATGGAAATAGAATTTACATTTTGCAAAAATAATACTTTTTAAAAATACTTAAAGAATTGTCGACAGTTTAGTCTATAGACTTTAAACTGGCCAACTGTAAACTAATCTATGTCCTAGTCTATGGACTAGTCTATCGACTAGTATAACTACGTGTCTATCTATGACAAGTGTATTTTCCATTAGATTGGCTATTGTAGTCTAGTCTTTGACTTTTATACGATTAGTCTATTGAAGAATGTATGGACTAGTTTCTTAACTAGTCTATTGACAAGCCTGTAGATCTATTAACGAGTCTACTCATTAGTCTATTTATTGTTTCTTGAAATCGTAATACTAAAAGATCTTGAAAGTATAAGCATCAACTGCGTACAGCATGAGTCCACAGTGTGAAGTTAAAGGTAAAATGCACGAATACAAACATAATTCTGTCATCTTCATATACACATACATATACATATATATATGTATGTGTAAGTGGTCAAATTGCATTTCGGCAGTGCCTAGATTTGTCGTAAAAAATTTCAAAAAATATCTAGTAAATAAACTACTTGAATTCAAGTTCTAAAACTACAGGGTAATATCTAAAGTGTATGTATGAATGAATTTGTTAGTATGAGTGTTCATGTGTAGGAACCCAGCAGTACGGTAAAAAGTCGGATGCATTGATAGTTAGTCCTACTAACGTCTAACCATCTGATTGGCTTTAATTCATCTCTTGCCACGAGTGTACTGTTTGTAAGCGTGATTGAAAACAGACCTTGATTTGTAGGCGAGAGCGAAGACAATCGTCACTTCACTGCCCTCCCTGGGCATGTTTCCTTGATAATAGATCCGCATCTTGGTGTATTACAATCCGAGGGAAAAGAGGTGTTACCGATACCTTTAGTCTGCCGGGACTATAAACTGGTGATGTCACTTCACTCCTCGGCTAGTCATTGGTATGATTTGACATGAGGTCTATCCAGAGAACCACATAATCTGGTGGCCAGTTGCCCGCAGGACTATGTTCTGGCTAATTAGTTGGTTGAGGTTCCTTTGGGATCCACGTAGTGGCTGTGGTTTAAACCCAAATTCGCGGGGAGAGTAAGTGGCGGTTAAAGGATTGATGTAAGGTAAAGTCAATATTTCGGGATAAGTTCGGTGCTGTTGCCGAGATACTGACTGTGGGACTAAGTGTTGGAAATGAGTTGGTGTTAATTGTATATGGTATGGGATGAATGTGGGGTATGTGGGCCTCACCCACCCGTTTACCTAGAATAAGTGTGTCGTATGTTTTTCTCTTACGAGTGTGTCGGATGAATGAGAAGTGTGCTGGGTTGAACGATGATGGGTGAAAGGTATCATATACAAATGATACCATTGAATTTTTCTTCCTTGTCCAGATGTGTTCAGAGTAAACTCTGTTCATATCAGAACTACCACAGTGTGTCACTGTGAGTTAGAACAAAGTCTCGGCAAATTTGATGGATTCGTACTTCGGTCAACCGGTTACGTCTCTAGGTGCTGTTGCCGAGTCAACAGAGGGCATCTCATCTGCGTGGTTATAAACGGAAGTGATGTTTTACATCTCGGAAGTTAAGCAAAGAGGTAGCAATGGTCAGAGATTATATAGCTCCAGTACTTGAGCAAAGTGCGCGTATATTGGACCGGCATCCATATACGTTAATTGCCACCTGCGTGTA